TTGAGTAAACCCTGGGTACTTTGTGGTTACATTTATGTACAAAGTCATTTAATTCTGCCGGTCCAGATCTTTGCTTGTACATTGCACATTGTTTAGGGGTCAGCTTTTTATTGTCTGTGGCCAAAAAAAGATGCTGAAATGAATGTATTGTGTTTAAATCTGGTTGATTTAAGATGTATAAATGTTAGGCTGTGATTAATCAAAGCATATTTTCTTAAATATGTTTTTAGTTGGTCACAAAGAAAACTCTGGAAATCCATAAACAGTTTAAAAATGCAGCATTTTCACTGGCTTTGATGGTTGGGGTGTGTTCCTTCGACTTCTTTGGAAACTTAAACGTGAACCAGGAAACAAAATGTGAATAATGATGGAGCATGAAGTGGAGGGGTGTCGTGTTCTGGTTCGTGGTCGCTGCATGCTGTGTCTATATCCTGAACTAGCTTGGACGTGTCAAATAGGAAGTGTGTTTCATGCTAAAGATTCTGTACAGACAGGAAGAACGAGCAAAAACCCAGGTCTTGTGAACTAACAGGAAATGGGTGGCTGCCGATTTATATCAGAGTACAAAGTACACATTGTATGCAGTTTCGTTTATATGTACGTCAAATTTTACATTTAGAGTTAAAATCTCCTAAAGCTGGCTTTGATTTTGACCCGCACATTAGAGTAGTAAGCCCTCACGTTCCCAAAGGGTCACCTTATTTCTTGAGTTGTTTAGCTGCCTTACACAAATGTGCAGCATTGTTCTGGTTCAGTTGATGTTAGTTGCTTTTCAGTCTGGAGGTGGGGATCTTTTTAGTGATTGGACCGGTCCGTGGATCAACTGGGTCCGGGTCGCCGGCTGCCCGAGTAATGAGTAATTGTTTCCGTTGTATTTATTCTCTAAGTCTGAATAAACATTTATTTTGTAAATTCTTTTATTTTGAAAAATGGCCGGATTCTGTCGGTTACATTTCGGTCACTTTAAATTTAACTCAGAAGTTAGCAAAATGAGTAAAAAACAGACGTCTTTGGAAAGTTTCTTTTCAAAGGGGAGAAGGCCCAATGAAAAGACAGAGGAAGAGCCGACAACTTAAAGCTTTTAACAGGCAATTGGCAGGAGTCCTACTTGAAATATGGATTTATTCCCACAGGCTGAGGTCGCTCTGCGTAAATGCGGCGAGCGGCGAAGCATCCGGAATTAAAAAACAAGCCCCTGGAGTATTGTCAAATAAAAAATAAATTTCCATACAAGTATACTTCATTATTATATTTGCAATATAATAGTGGGGACCACTGCTGTAGATTACGTCTGGTTGTCCTACAGAAAGAATACATGCAATGCAACATTACTTTTGGGTGCCTGTTTGCAGGCTGCAGGTGGGAGCTAAAATGTTAACTTTTAGGAGGCAACATCCGATGGTAGATTCAATTTGGGGTATATTTTGGTGAGCATCTGTTTTCAGCATGTTTGTAATTGCTAGAACTGCTATGGAGCAGGTCAAAGGAAAGTTTTGATTTTGTCTGATTTGTGGCTGATTTTGTCTGAAAATGTGACCGTATGCCCTCTCCTGGTGTGTCTTCATCTCTACAGATCTTGTCCCTTGCCGCAGAGTCTTAGTAGAGCAATGCACCCCTCTGAGTCTCTCTGCGCTGAGAGGCCAGGAGCAGTACGCTTTTGAGAGGGTGGACTACAGTCTGCAGGAGCACAACTACTTCAGTAATGGAGACAGAAACTCTGAGATGTCTCTTTGTGCGATCAAGCAGGAGGTTTGTGCAATTCTCGGAAACAAATTAAACATTTCGCTCCATTTTTAGTACCATCATTAATAAATAACATTTTCACTGTCTCCTAGGACTCATACAGTGATTCTTGTCTTGAGCATGTCGTGAAGCAAGAAGAAGGTAAGACTTCTCTGCAATCCAAACAGTTCTTGATTAATCATATCACTTCAGAAAACGTTCTACTCAGCCATTTTCAACCAAATGTCTCGTGTTTAATTTCGTGT